CGTGATCAGACAATGATAGACACGTCCTCACATATCACAACATATTGAGATAATTTGAATTATTCATGATTCACATTAATAAATGAAGCCGAGCATAATAAAACCATAGATTTAATATATTATATTTGAAACATTTGCGAAAGAGTTCTTACGTAAAAATGTAAATAAAATGTCTCGTGTGCCCTGTTTATTTTTAAACAATTAGAGACGCGCCTACTATCGATGAGCGTTACGTGATAATTATGACAAAATATGCTAATTTCGCTTCGATCGAACGCTTTTTCCATACATCTCTCAACAAATTTCTATCTATTGTTCAAAACGAGACACCGACTGNGAAACATTTGCGAAAGAGTTCTTACGTAAAAATGTAAATAAAATGTCTCGTGTGCCCTGTTTATTTTTAAACAATTAGAGACGCGCCTACTATCGATGAGCGTTACGTGATAATTATGACAAAATATGCTAATTTCGCTTCGATCGAACGCTTTTTCCATACATCTCTCAACAAATTTCTATCTATTGTTCAAAACGAGACACCGACTGACTGACAATGTATTGTAGTTCAGTGTACACGTAACTCCAAGCGAAGCACTCCACACTCGCCGGTTAAGAGAAAACGAGTATAAAAGCGATGCAAATTACAATTACTAGCATTACCCACCACCCTCTCAACGAGTACGGTACAACAGTAATCTAGCGACCAAGATGAAGTACCATGTGCGTAATATTCTTGTATATTTATTTTTAGTAGTGCAAGTGTCTATAGTGCTTATAATTCAAAAGTAACCGTGATCTCTATAATACGTCTCTGGACCGTCTGGACCTACGTTTAACACAAAGTGTTTCAATCTAATATTTATTCTAAAATTTGTTTTTATCTGACTTCAATAGCGACATTTAGTCTAGAACACCTAAGCACATCGTTGAAATAGCAAGTCATTTCCTGTTTATCGAAGAAACTCACAACTGATTAATGCAGTAATTTATTGAAGCATCGATAGGGTTCTCACTTCCTGTTTAATCGATTTCTTGTTCGGCCCGGTCTCTAAGGAAGTTTATAGTATGAAATAGATAGTTCTATGGAGACAGCTCTCTCGCAAAACTAGTTTCAATTCAACTACCATAACTTTGTACATTCAACTTAGCATTTTCTAATTTTAAATTTTTATTTTCGATTTTACAGATCTTCCTGGGACTCATTGCCGCAGTGACTGCTTTTCCTGGAATAATACATGATGAATCTCCCCAAGTCGAAGCGAAATACGACCACCAGTCTTTGATTGGTGAATCTGGACACCATCATCAAATTGAACACGAACACGCCAAATCTCACCAGTCGATCAAGTTCGAACACTTCCACCCCGTTCCTGTGTACGTGAAGAAGGAGCACAGCCACCTTCTGAAGCATCCTCTTGAAAAGGGAAAATCAGAGCAAAACCTCAAGCTGATTCATCCTGAGACTGAACACAAGCACGGCGGTGGACTTGTCCTCGAGGACGACAGACACAACATTGAACACCATATCGCTTCTGCTGGTCTTGAGCACGGAAGCTTTGAACACGGCGGTCTGGAACAAGGTCTGGAGCATGGAGGTTTGGAACACGGAGGCTATGAGCACGGTGGTTTCGAGCAAGGAGGTTATGAGCACCTATCCGGTGGCTTCAAAGGCTATGAAGGAGGCGAAGGCTTGAAGACATACGCTGAACTTCAGCAACCAGAGGACCACGGCCATTACTACGCTGAACACGAACAGGCTTTATCTAGCGACAGCGGCGAGGGCTACAAATACGAAAGCTACTAACCTTATAAAGGCATCACTAAATAAGCAACTGTCTGAATATGTTTTAGGTCTGTCTCTTGCCTAATGAAATTAGAGTTTATTTAGATCGTAGGGATTAAGACTCATCGATCTTTATGCGGTTTAAATTAAATGCTTATTTGAGCTATTTCGAATACCTGTACCTGATTTAGACTTAATTCAAAAGTAACATGTCTGGGCAATCTCGTCGTGAAAATGTTTGTTCGGTGTGATCTAATTTAGTCAAGTATGTTGTGAAATGTGAAATCCGATGTTACGTTTTTAAAATGATTGTTGATTTTTTAGATCGTTGAATCATGTTTGTGTGTTTTTTTTTGTGTGGCTAAAACCTATTGTTTTCATAATTAATTGATTTTGCATAAGGCATACGTTGAGTCCCAGTGAAAATGTGATATTAATAAATGTTGGTTTTTTTATTATTATTAAAACCAGTATTTTTTTCTTTCACCCTATACTATCTACCTCACACATATACTAAGTTAGTTCTAACAATTTAATCAACGAGACAGATCATATCGCTATGCTAGTACAGTAATAATTACCCGGGTAGTTATGTAGAGCACAACAACTTGTGCTCTGTACAGCATAACTATCTGGTTCCGGACAGGAGTGCAATCACGCAACAGAATAAGCTGGTAATTTCAGAATTACACAAACAAATTTCGATAAAGCAATGAATGTGATTTATTCCGTTGAAATACTTATCTAAAAGCATGTTTGACTCGCACTTTCGATAAATATAACTATAGCTATTTAAATTTTGCGTTAGTGTATTGAGAGAATTTAACTTAAACACATTATTGATACATAACCATAGAGAGGTTAGGGTCTTTTTGTTGTTATTCGGTTATGTTGCGTATCGAATTGATTTCTCGGTTTTAATTTTATTTCAATACATGTAATGTGTTTGGTCTCACACGAAGTATTTAAATCGATTACGCTGTCTAGACTCTAGAACGTAATTTAAGTCACGAAAATTACAAACATTATTTTTTTAAATCTAAAATTAAACTTAAGACAAAAGTAAACAACATAGACGTTCATTAAGGAGAATTTGCATAAAAGATAACTTTTCTATTTTAATTATTGATTTTTTATTTTAATTGCATAGACATGCCATTTATGAAACTAATCGGCTAACAAAACTCTTCACAAATAGAAACATTAACTCATCATTCCATTTTAAACGCAGCATTCTATTCAAACAGACTTGTTATATATGTTCCGAACTAGATCTCCAAATAGAGATACAGCTGTTTGTGAAAGAAATTAGAAAAAAATGTTAATTTTTGAACATTAAACACACTGTGGGCCGTTCACAGCATACAAAGTTTACGTGACACGGAATATACATATTTCTTGTAATTTTAAAACGCGGCGACATCTCGGCTTCCTGGTCGACGATTTCATATTCATTCGTTAGGAGGCCGCGGCTTTCTACATCGTTATACACAACATATTTTGTGCCTATTGCAATTCAATAAAGCGGAAGGATTGTTGTGACCGAAATTCTCGAAAACTCCGAAGCTTTCGGTGTTGACGCAAGGTTTTGAAACCGAATGACTCATGATTTAAATGCTCTGATATCGAATTTCTTAATAATTTTATTTTATTCTTGTTTTTGTTACTGTGTCTTTTATTAACTGCATCGAGTATTACATTCGACTAGTGCATCGCTACCGCGTTTCGCTGTGCAAACTAGATTTATCACTTTATTTCCAATGGCCATTATACAAACACAACGCTTATGCCAACGCATTATTGTTAATTTCCTGTATTATCATAAAAAAATTGAGAAATATTATTATTTATACTGAATGGTTCCTTTAATCATAATTTTTAGTTGTGATACAGTATTGGGAATATCTACTTAAATTGTTATGTTATTTTGAAAACACCCAAAACTTTTTATTAACTAAAATTGCCATTCTAAAACTAGATCCAAACTAATTTACATTGAATATTTTTTAATAATTCTAATTTTGATAGATTTATAGATAAGATGGTATGCACGGTGAAAAGAGTTTTTAAAAACGGGAAGCTATTTAAATTTCGCGTTAATTGGCTATCAAAGAAACCTAGGTAATGATTGGGTATTGAGCTTTGGGTAACGAATGATTCTGCGTGTCATCATCATCAATATAATCAGCGCCACCACTACTATTCTGACAAGAGTTTCCGACTAAGAAGAATTAAGTGTATTTTAATCACAGATAGGTACCACAAACCTGCCTATTTCTGTCGCGAAGCAGTCATTCCAGTTTAAAGACTGGATTAGACATTATATAATACAACTTGAGGATTTGATCACGTGTCTACAAGTATGAATTCATGAGGTCTATATTCACTTTGTTATGACTGAGCTCTCGCCTAAAGGTGAGCCGTGAGCTCACCCATTTGTACCCATTTTTACCCATTTGTAGCAATAATAAAATCTAAAGTGCTTAGCTATTCATTTTTAGCTAAGATAGACGACTATAGAACAATTCATTTGGAGCTAGGGCCTAGAGCCCATTTAGGCACTACAACAATGATCTCGCTATACATTTTCAGATCAAAGTATCAGTTGCATTGAAAATACATGATTGATTGTTTTGCGGTCAATATAAAGACAAGAATGGTCACCACACATTCACATCACAACATGCAGTAGGTGTCACAAATAAATACGAACGGTATTTTATTTTGAAGCATATATAAGGTACTAGTGTACGGTGCATTTATGTGAAAAAGAAAACTAGCTAGGATCGAAAAACGACATAATCACATGATGATAATAACATCGAGCGATCTAACACCATTTTTATAATTCAATTTAATGATATTATTATATAATAATACGCTATAAATCTTATGGTGAATGGTAAGGAATGAATTTTAAGTTAAATGTGCCTGTCAGTTTAGCTATTTTTCTATTTCATATTTGTCCTATTTTTTTAATTACGTAAATGGCTAATCGAGGTCATGGCACCTGGGGTTAAGTGGTTGCTGTTGTTCATAGATAATATAATATGACAAAGTCACAAGGTCTAGAGCGTAGAAGCACAAAATCAATACAATTTTTGTAAAAAAAAATGTTTTTATTAAATATATCTACAAAACATAACAATAACTACAGATCATGAAAACAGACAACAATAATATACTAAAACATGTAACGATTAAAACTGATTAAATACTAATGCTCCCACACGTGTCGTAGAACAGTCAATCTTTCAGGCCTGCGGAAAGGAGCGCCAGCTGGAGTCTCCCTTTTGATTTCAATAGGAACGATGCGCTCCACTAAATATGGTTTGTTACCCTTAACGGTAGACTTAGAGATAGTTACAGGTATGCGTTTTTCAGATTCTCTGGGTGCAGGTCTATCTGTTTTCACAACTGGAGTTGGGGCTGCTTTAGTGAACTGTAATGGAATAACGAAAGGTTTAGCTCCCTTCTTTTGAGCAGCCTCAGAGCTGCGTAACTTTGTCAGTGTTGATACATTAACTAGCTTAGCGGAGACAGGACGACGTTTCTTGGCGCGTAGCTCTTCTTTCACCAATAAAGGATTTGTTTTAGCGAGTACCTCGGCCCTGGCCAAGGCATTTTGTTTTTCCAAATTTGCTTTCAATTTCTCAAGTTCGATGGCGTATTTCTGATCGTTATGTTTTGGAGCTTCCTTCAATTCACGCAAAGCTGTCTGGAGTTGTAGTTCACGTTGCAAAAGCTTGCTCCTTTGTTGGGTGATGGATTGCACAACTTTATCGCTATTGAGGAGTGGAGTTAAGAGCTCTGCAAGTTTCTCTTGCGCGATCTCTTCTTCAGTTTCGGCTTGTTGTTCTTCTTGGGCGACCTCCTGAGCGAGCGTCTGAGGAGTTTCCTGTGCGGGTTCTTGGGCAGCTCCCTGGGCGGGCTCTTGAGACGGTTCCTCTACAGGAGTGATGGCGGGCACTGAAATATTGTCATCGTCCAAAGGAACTAATCTAAACTTCTTCTGTAATAATGCTTCAAGATCAGTTTTCGCTTCTTCCTTCTTCTTTTCAGTTTTCTTGGTTTGGTTACGTGGCTTTGTTTTTTGAGACTGTTCCGATGCTGGAATACGAGGAGCAGCGTTAGCCTTCGCCTTCTTATTTTGTTTTCTGACAGAAGGAGCAAGATATCTATCTTCACGTTGCTTTTTAGCGGGTCTAAATCTAGCTGGAATAGTTCTCGGTCTCTCTGTGATTTCTTCTTCTTCCTCTTCTTCTTCTTCCTCATCTTCATCTTGCTGCTCTTGTTCTTGTTCCTGGTCCTGCTCTGGTTCCTGTCCTTCTTCTTGTTCTTCTTCCTCTTGTTCATCTTGCTCTTCCTCCTGTTGCTCTTCGTCTTGTTCTTCGCCTTGCTCTTCTTCTGCTTGAGGCTCGTTATCAGCTTCAGAACTATTGTCTTCTTCCTCAATTTGGTCGTTCAGAATTTTGAGAATCTCCTCGAGTTGAGACCTGGATTGTTCTTCAGTAGTTTCAGCTTCACCCTGTTCATTTTCAATGATCTGTTCTGGTTCCTCAGTCTGAGCTTCAGCTTCAGGCTCAGCTTCTGGAAGTTGAGGTCTCACCACGGCACCACGGGCTTCAAGTGCTTTAACTTGGCTGGGTGTTAAGTATAAAATAACTTCTTTGGTTTCATATTTCGAATCTGTTTGTGACGAAGGAGTGGATGGTTCGTAGAATTTTTGCGGGCCAAGATCATAGCGCCCTGCATGCACCGACGCCAGAAATATTGAAGCTAATACGCACCACACCTGAAAAAAAAAAATTTTTTTTTAATAAGGGCAACGGTTTGAAACAGATTAATCAATTGTTGTTCTCTGTGATTAATGTACTCACGTGAATTTCCATGGCTGCAAATGTGAGTGATGAGAGCAGCCTGTGGACTGATAGGACGCTGTTTGTCGTCTGTGCAGAAACAAGGAAGACCTCCGATTTTATACACAAGATGAGTGTTCGAAATCTTCTACAAATTCGTAACTAGCTCGTCGCTATTAGTGAAGAGCCGATGTCGATTAACACGAAATTCTTATAAATTATGTTAATTTACCTATTACGAATTTTGTTCTATGTTTGAGTTCCATTTTTCATTTGAGGCTTCATTTTAGTACTAAATTTATTTATTACTAAAATTCATTATATTAGCATTCAGATTTTTGCATTTTAAATTTAGTTAAATTTTTTAACTTTCGTTTTAAAGCGCATTTTGTGTGAAAATCCAAACCAGCCCATCTGATTTTTTTCTTTTCACTTAAATTATAACTCTTAAATTTAAATTAAATATCTAAAATCATTTTCTATCTAGAATTTCTATCATTTACTGTTACTACCATATACATAACATTGTTTGAATATAGAGGGTTTATTTTCGACAAATTCAATAAAACAAAGTTGAATCTAATTTGACCGTAATGTTCACAAAGAAACCTAATGCTTAGTTACATTGTTGTTGAATTGTAACAAATAACAAAACAGACTACGTACGCTTTGTGCGACCATACTGGAATTTTTTTCTGATTGAAATGGTACCAAAAGTGGGAATATTTTCATATTTTTAAAATACCTATTTATTTATCAGCATTAGTTTTATGGTATATGTTATATGTTGTTAGAACAAAATAAAAGTAAAAAAATAAAAAAAGTATCGATAAATTTAATCGAATTGATTTTCGATATCGATATTCTAATAATTTCAAGTCGTATGGGACGTAGTTATCTACGCACTTTTTGCATAAATTGCATTATAATATGGATCTGTGATGAAATTTCGATCATTTCACAAAATTTCGTTTTCAATTAAACAAATATAAATATTCAGATGCGTGCCTCGGAGAAAGATCATGTTGCCGTGAAATAGAGTCGCATTTCCAATGCGCTGTTTGATAAATTTTAAAATATTTCATTTTTATTATACAAGAACACTGGGCAGGCGTAACAGTATTCAATTTAATGGCTTTTAGGCATATAAAATATATGATATGTATACATATGTTGATCATAAGAATAAATTTACCATGTTGAGGATGTAGCTGTGTAGAATATTTTAGCGAAATTAGGCCTGAGCAGATAATAATATTACTCTAATTTATGACATACTTAAAATAGCTTAACGTTTATCAGTGCAGGACATAGTTTTCTTACAGCAGTATATATAATAAATATGATAAGCGNCATATAAAATATATGATATGTATACATATGTTGATCATAAGAATAAATTTACCATGTTGAGGATGTAGCTGTGTAGAATATTTTAGCGAAATTAGGCCTGAGCAGATAATAATATTACTCTAATTTATGACATACTTAAAATAGCTTAACGTTTATCAGTGCAGGACATAGTTTTCTTACAGCAGTATATATAATAAATATGATAAGCGTAAAATTACAAATTTTGTAGTACGTTTTTGTTTTGCATCCTAATTTCCCTATTTATATTTCCCAGATGTTTTCCAGTTCCATGGAAACACCAATACGTAACCAGAACAGGGTTTAAAGGTCACGTGACCGTATGTTTCATAGGTTTCCAGATAGCGTGGTGCCTGTAATGAAACTGAATCGAATCGTCATTTATTACAAGCCCTGAAAACCAAGACTATATAATTCCAGCGGCTTTTCTTTTATTTTTTTATTTTTATTTTATCAACAACACGAACACTCGAACGGTAGGCGCCATTGATACTGTGACGGGAGTCAGTGTTTCTTAAATGGTTTAAATAAAATTAAACTTATTTATGTAAGACGAATGTTTGCTGGAGGGAAGCGATTGGAAAAGGAAAGCCATGGACAAAGTGATTTGGAAGAAGCTGGAGGAGGCCTTTTCCCCAAGAAGGGGTTCCGATCAATGGTACAGAAAAAAATAACGTTAGCGAATAAAAGAAAATTAAAGAAATTCTACCCTAGTATATTTAGATATTAAATCGCATGTAACAACGATATAATTACGGATTGGAACTAAACGGGCTTTATTATTATTATTATTTATGTAAGACGAATGTGAGCGAGTTTTGTCGTGTGATTTTCTTCTAAGTATTCTTTTTTATCGGACTTCGTTGACAAGTACACTCCGGGCCTTGTGTTAAACGATTACCTTTAAACAATACGACGTAAATAACTCCACCCATCTTGAAATATGAAATTGAATTCTCAATTATATTGTACAGCTGCTGTTCGCTTCAAACTAAGCACATGACTGCTTTGGGTATCAGAGCAACAATACCACGTCCTACAACTAATAAAAAAATGTGTTGAACATTTATTGATGCTATTTCGTAATCGTATGAATGAGACGATCATTTTACTAAAGGCTCTCAACTAACATAATCGCATCGCGATAATCTCTCCCTTGCATCGAAGAATTTTTTCTAGTGTAGGTACTCATAAATCAGACTCAACACCTAATATATACAAGTATAAAATATTGTTGAAATATTTCTTTCTCAATTGAATGATGTGATGATATCTTTTCTATGATTCGGGCTACCTTGATAGTAGGCTGTTTCACCGCTATTGCTAAACACCATATTTCAAAACCATATTTGATCGATGTTCTTCAATATAAAACTGATATAATCGTCAGCAGAGTGTGTGTGTCTGTGCATTCCTATATTGCTTCTACGATGGTTGAGCCTATTTCAAATTAGGGCAGGGTGTCTTGTGAGCCTGCACTTGTAGTTACTACCACCTTGTCTATTCTTGCCGTGAAGCAGTAATGCGTTTCGGTTTGTAGGGCGGGGCAGCTGTTGTACTGTTAAAACTGTGACTTAGAACTCACGTCTCAAGCTGGGTGGCCGCAATTACGTTGTTGGTATCCTGGGCTCCACCAACTACTTAATGCCAAGTGGGCCGTTATATCCTGTGTCCACCCATAGTAAAAAAGTCAATTTCAGTGCGGCATAATAAGTTAAACTAAAGATAGATCGAGTGATTAAATTCAATTAACAATAGAAACGATCGTTTGGAATCTCTGGGTCTGCGGATGTTCCATGGGGAGTGCTCTGAGAAATTGTTTGAGTTGATACCATCATCTCGTTTTTACCATCGCACTGCCCGCCACCGAAGTAGAGTTCATCCATACTACCTGGAGCCACTTCGTTCAACCACAGTGCGTTTCCAGACATCTCTTTTGTCATCTTTTCTGACACGTACCATCCAGCTTTGGAATGTGCTCCCCTCCATGTTGTTTCCCGAGCGCTATGACATATCCTTCTTTAAACGAGGCTTGTTGAGAGCACATGGTAGGCAGCGGCTTGGCTCTGCCCCTGGCATTGCTGAAGTCCATGGGCGACTCACGTCCATGGGCGTAACCACTCACCATCAGGTGGGCTGTGTGCTCGTCTGCCTACAAGGGCAATAAAAAAATAAAAAATGATTTTCATTAACTTACCGATAAAATAGAATACGAACGGTGATTGTTTTATTTTACAAGACTATTTGTCTACGGCAATTCTTATAAATATTAAATCGAAAAAAGAAAAAATAAACAGGTTTCTCAATTAAAATTTAGACTACATAAATAAAATATCAGTCCTACAACAATATTTTATAAAATTCGTGAATCTGCACGCAAACTTTCATAATTACTGAAACAGGTTTTACGTTTTATTTTATTGATGATTTGCCATTTTAATAAATTATTAAAATTTCGCAAATATAGAAAGTTTGAATCTCCAAGGAAAGAACAGGACTTGTATGATAATGACTATCAAGAGAGCCTTGCAGCTTGAATTGAAATATGGACCAAGCCCAGAGCAGCTTTGACCTTTTGGATTATCGCAGTGAATAAATTAGTAATTAAATTAAATAACAAAGTAAATATCGAACATCCACGTGCAAGCTTTGATGTATTTGTGGCCTAAATGTTATGATGCCCGACGTATGTGCTGGTTATGAGGGACGCAGCTATACATGTGATCGAATTTTTGAAGAAGATATGTACTCAATCTTGAACAAGAACGATTTCTGGGATGGGGAAATAAAATGGAGTGATTAAAAGCCGCTAAACTCAAAATGCGTCAATAGTGGTGGAATGGTGTATTATTAGCTAACACAGGTAGGTACCAGCATCCTGTCTATTTTTACAGCGAAGCATTGATGAGTTTACAGGGTGGGACATCCTCTGTACAATATACTTAGTCTGGCCATTAACACTGTTACAATTAAAAATAAACAAAATATTACATTTGAATTTGGAATCTGTCATTTTTATATGATTGCTCATTGAGTTTTCTCATTTTGGCGCCATTATATTATGCCAATATTTTGCGATATTAAAATGAAGTGGGGTGATAAAGAGAACCGAATCGCTGTGATTGCATTAAACAAAGTAGGTATGGAACCAAATGCAATATTTAAAACTCTCCATACGCTTGGTATTAGTAAAATGTTTGTGTACCGGGCTATTAATAGGTGCAATGAGACCTCCTCTATTTGTGACAGAAAAAGATTTGGCCATCCACGTAGTGTTCGTATGAAAAAGGTGGTCAAAGCAGTAAGGGAAAAAATTCGAAGAAATCCTGTCCGAAAGCAAAAGATCTTATCTCGGGAGATGAAGATAGCACCCAGAACCATGTCGCGTATTTTAAACAATGACTTAGGACTTGCAGCCTATAAGAGTCGTACTGGTCATTTCTTAACTGATAATTTAAAAGAGAATAGGGTGGTAAAATCGAAACAACTACTGAAGTGGTACGCAAAGGGAGGTCATAGAAAATTTCTGTTTACGGATGAGAAATTTTTTACTATTGAGCAACATTTTAACAAACAAAATGACCGTATTTACGCTCAAAGCTCTAAGGAAGCTTCCCAATTAGTCGACAGAGTGCAACGTGGGCACTATCCGACTTCAGTGA